TGAGATGATCATGTTCTCCACCGTCTCGCTTGTAAAGTTGCCATGCATTATGCACAGCCATATCTAAGGTGTGACAAAACAGTGAAAAATACCATTTCTTGCCACGAATAGAAGTCCGATACAACCCTATGTTTTGATCGGATCTATCGACCCCTCCCATATTTTCATTGTATTTTCTTATAACCGACGGTTGGTCAATATGTACAAATCTTTTTAGTTCTTGCGAAAAACTCTTGACTTTTTGCAGGGGCTCCACAGTTTCAGTATTCGATGCAACAGTAACGACACTATTGTCATTCCACTTGCAAACCAAAATATTGGTAGGCAAACTGGATTTGAATACAAATGAACCTCTATCAGTATTTTTGAAATCTTTGTTAGACTCGAGAGGACACTTGGACGTTCTGTTTTCACGAATAGTTCCAGTGGCTCTTAGACCTCTATTACTAAGTTCATGCAGTAGAGGAATAGAGGAAAAATAATTGTCGAAGAATAAATGAAATGGCAATGTTGGATCACGACCTTGTAGAACATCAGCAAACTCCAAAATCACACTCCCACCTAGACCAAACTGTTTGTAACCTTCTGCAATGGTTGAAGATTTTCCCTGGTAAGGATCAAACCAAATCACGTAGCCTAATCTTGTAGCACCAACCCACAGTTTATACCCCCAACGAATTGGTTTGCCACGTATAAACTGTTTGCAACTGTGACGTCCATAGTATGGAACCATAGCCTCATCTATGCTGTAGTTCTCTTCTAGCGGAGCCATTTCAGTAAAGATTTTATTTAACTCGTCAAACAGAGGTCTCAACTTAGCGAATTTGTCAGGAGAATCACCAAGAACTGTTTTATCACAGCAGTGGAGATTTGACATAATAAAAGTAAAACGATCTCTTGACATAGCGTTGTACACAATCCTAAAGTCGGCATCTGTCGATGTCTCCCAATACATAAACCTACGGGGTACTACTACATACCCGCTGTACATAAGGATGCCCAAGAAACACTTCATTTCAGAAACAGTTACTTTGCCCACTTTATTCCTCTGTCCTGCATACAAATTGGTATATCGCACTAGTAATTCAATAACATTGTTGTTGAACAAGCAGTCGAAATAATATAAGGGTGATTGTAAGTTTTTTGGACCTTGTTCGTCATTCCATTGATTGAAATGGTTTGGAATATGACGATTCTTCCATCTATAGGTTTGGTTTCGGGGAACTGTAGGCTGAACAAATGTAGAATTAGTTGACACATCTGAAGTACAAGAAGGTACGGCGTCACTATCTTCTAAAGTCAAATCCATCGTGCGTCTTCTTTTTGACAAACTTGACAAAGGTACATCATCTTCTTCGTCGGAACTCATATGAAAAGTGACCTCGGCTGGAGCTCGTAGTTGAGAGCCTATAAAAAACAGATATAAATATTGCAACCATATAAATAAAACAAGATAGAATCATTGATACGTAGTTATATCAACCCGAAAACAAATATTTTACCTGGTAGATTTTGCAATGCAACAAATTCTTCATCTCCAGAATCCTCATCTGTGACGTCGGCATTAGCGTTCTCAGGTGGAAAAATTGTAATTTGAGTTGGCAACAAATCATCATCCTCACATCGCTCTAATTCATCAACTATATCGTTGAGAGTGAGTGCTCTCAAAGGTCGCGTGCTAAAAAGAAAACAATAATATTATAGACCCCCATATTGCGACGGGACTTTTAAAAGGCCATCAATTTGAAACGTGAAAAAGGAATGAGTTTTTGTTGCACCAAAACAAATAGATAACCTGATATTGTAGATAATATATCTAAAATTAAATATCAAAATGTGTTAGCAACAACATCCAGATATATAAATGATAAAAGCTTACCTTTGTCCAGACATCATGACACTAATACTCCTAAGTCTTCAATGACACAAAAACTTTAAATAAACAAGTGTCCAGTTGTAAACAACACCGCATGAAATCATACACGGATAGGTACTAAGTAACCTGACAGTGCAAATATCTTAGAGAATTCATTTTAACAACTCGAAACTTGAGGGTATTTTTAATAATTTTTTCGGGTCTTTTAAAAGCCCCGTCGCAGTATCTGGGTTAACCAGATTAGTTTAGTCAGATAAATGTATTACCAGATTGCGAGCATAAGGTAATAATGAATCGCTTTCGTATAACTATGTTAAATATATATGTCGTAGTAAGATGGTTGAAGCCGTGATATAGTTATATCCCTTATGATATAGCTATACATATACCGTAATACAGTCATATGAACTCGGCTCATAACTGTCTTACTAGGAATATAACTTGATACGAGCAACATCTAGTAATATATCATGACTTCAACCATAGCGTGTGTGTGTGTATGTGTGTGTGTATGTGCTTGCGTGTGTGGGGGGATGTGTGCTTGTGTGTGTGCGTGCACTATGTATATTTGTGGTATAATCTAAAACAATCAACAATACAAAATCCAGGCTGCTGAGGGCAATTTGGACAGAAGAATGGTGTATCTTTACGTATTTTATTGACTTCCCAGCAATATTTGCATCCTTTGCGCATTGATTTTCCTTTCCGTGGGCAAGGCTGAATTATATGAACAATACAAAGTATAACCCCTTCTTCTGAGACCTCTACCGTATTTTGGACCTTAGCCTCGGGAAGTAAATTTTCTATAACTGATTGCCTGAATTCGTAGTAACTCAGTTTTTTGCCAGAAAACAAATTAGATAAGGTAAATGAATTGTACATAATTTGTTGGAACAGGTGGATTACCAATTTTATGTACCACCTGATAGAATTATGTTCGCAGCAATAGTACGCTATCATTTGATCTTGGTGATCAATACCACCCATGTTACGATTATATTCTACAACCATTTTAGGCTTTGAGACCTCTGTATTTCTTCTTGTAGTGGTAGTAATCATTTGCGAATTAAATGGAGAGGGCTATGCTCGGAGTTTCTCTGCGTGATAAACTCAGAAATGAGGATATCCGCAGTAGAACCAGAGTGACCGACATAGCCCAACGGATTAGTAAGCTGAAGTGGCAATGGGCCGGCCATATAGTTCGAAGAACCGACAACCGATGGGGAAGAAAGGTTCTCGAGTGGCAGCCTCGTACCGGCAGGCGAAGTGTAGGGCGTCCCCCCACTAGATGGAGTGACGACCTGGTAAGATATGCAGGAAGTTGATGGATGCAGGTGGCTCAGGACCGTGCTTTGTGGCATTCTTTGGGGGAGGCCTATGTTCAGCAGTGGACTTGTGAAGGGCTGTAATGATGATGATGATGATGATATCATAGTGACGTCTTTGTTATTCTGCCATTTCATGACACAAACACCATTTTGGTTGTACTGCGAGACACATTCGCCTTTCTTTAACTTTTTAGTAGTAATGTCCTTTGTGTTATTTTTTCGATTTAATCGTAATGTTCCCGTGCAGTAAGTATTTTCAGATAATAATTTTTTCTGTCAGATCAACAGAATTATAAAAGTTGTCCATAAAAACAGAGTAGCCTTTATTCAAAAAATCATGTAATAGCTGTAAAACTACTTTTGAGGAATGATTCACGCCACCTACAATTGGGTCTCCTGCGCCGGCATACACTGTTTGTTTTAGTATTATACCGTTTGCATCAGTCAAAATATATAATTTTATACCATATTTATGGCTTTTATGTATTGTCTGAATATTAGTCGACCGCGCCACAATACAAGGGACTCATCAATACATCAATTCTGTACAGGGTTGTATATTTCTGTCATCCTATTATTGAAAAACATAACCAAAGGTGAAATTTTCGCTAATCTGTTTTCGTCTGATTCTAAATTTTCAAAGTGCACTGCTCTTAGAGTTAGCAAAAAACGATTTGGACTCATGTGCTCACGAAAACAGGTCAGGTTAAATAGTCTGTGCTTTTTCCAATAATCTTGTATTCTATTTAATTTTATTGTACCCATATGGAAAAGTAGCCCCAAAAATATTTTGAATTCTGAAACTGTTACATTTTTCCAGTAGTGTATTCGACTTCCAGGTAAACTTTTTGCAAGGATATTGCTTGCATTACGATTGGCTTTATCAATGATGTCCTGAATTACGTAATCTGTCATAATTAAATTAAAAAAGTTGATAGGTTCAATTGCTTCTAGTTGTACATTTAACCCCATTGGGTTTTATGTGGGATGTTTGGTCCGACCAATTTAAACACTCACCATCACTAGTTGGAGGTGCGAAGGTTTCAATTGGTATCATATTATCATCATCTGAATCAGAATCATCAAAATTGTTAAGAAAATTTTCATCTAGAACCTCATCATCGAAATTGTCATCAGAACCTTCAAGTATGTCCAGAAGTTGTTTATGTGAAAGTTCGCCTGAAAGTGGGCCCTTGCGCAATTTTCTCGCTCATCATTATCATTTAATATTGCCGAAAGGTCCTCCTCAATAGGCACTTGTACACTATGTATTTGACACAAGTCACGACCAGTTCTTAACTGGTGATTGATATAAGATGCAGAACCTCCTCTAGTTCTAACTCTTCGCCTTTTCCCTTGGCCAGCTACATCTGTTTCTGTTTCGGAGTTTTGTTTCAATATTTTTCCGGTCCTGGAACTTTTTCCAACATGTCCACCTCTTGTTCTTACACATCGTTTATTGCTTTCTCCGATAGGCAATGAAATCTCAATATTTTTGAACGATGTCGTGGGTTCATTATATGCGGTGGAAGGTTCATTACATGAGGTGGAAGGTTCATTATATGAGGTCGAAGGTTCAATATATGACGTCGAAGGTTCATTATATGAGGTGGAAGGTTCATTAAATGAGTTCGAGGGTTCATGACACGAAGTCGAAGGTTCGTTACACGAGTTTGAATAATTTATTTCAGTTGGTGAAGTCTTGTCATCACAGTCTGCTTGGGCAACCATATCGATTACAATGGCCTTCGAAGTTGAATGTAATTCTGACACATTTTCGACAGACCAAGTTTTAACTACACCACTAGAAGATGTGCAAAGTACTGGAGACTGATTGAATAGTTGTTGTTTACTGAAACAACAATATTCTATTGAAAAACTAAACTTAAAAATACTCTCAAAACTAAAGAAAAGACATGTGTAGGTTACCTACATTTGAACAGAATGTGGGAATGGCAAAATTGGGTATTGGTTATTATTTTGTTTATATTATTTATTGGGTAATGGTTGTCGTGATCAGTTTTCCATGATTTCAGCATTTGCATAACTTCTTCCTTGAACGAAATAAAGTCATCCCTTGAGAGTTCATTGTGACGTCTTTTTTGTCTTGAAACCGCAAACGAAGAATGAGTTTTCGGTTGTTTGGAGATATCGGAGTCTGATCCAGCTTTATTAGGTGAACGAAGCATGTTGATTTTTAAATATGTCGAGCAAAGCAATAATTTTCTGAAGATTTGCTATTTTATAACAGCAGGCGCTTTTTGAGCAAAAGCGGTGGGTGGAGCCAAAAATTATGCAGCAAATGTATTCACGCTGACAGTATACAAAGGGCGTGGCTTACCTCTTCGATGAAGCAGGATGCTACTACATTACGAGTATGTTGCCCTGGTACACGCACGAATTTTTTAGTTTATTTTTGAGAAACTTTTTGACCATTATTTAGTTATAAACACAACAATCACGGAGGACACGTCTGTTCGCTTCCGCGATCCGGGGGGAAGGTGGAATGCCAAATGCCTTGGGTCTTTGACTTTCTAGTATACATCAGGTGATATCTGTATGCATTTACATGATGTTATTTAGTATTAAAACGAAAAAAAAAATGCTACGGCGACTAGAATATTAATTGTAATTTTTTTTTGTTGTGTATGTAGGATACGTCTTTTCATGTAATGTGATAACTTTATCGTCACTCGGTATGTAGTGCACGGGACAACGAAAGGGTTAAGGAGGAGCGGAGCAGCTATTTCTGGATGTGTTTCCGAAAATTGTTTCCCATTAAAAATATTACCTTGTTCATTATCTTGCGTCTAATGTGTGGGAAAATACTAAATTTAAATATAGAAAAGTCCTTAATGGTTTTATAATTTATATTTATAGTACATATTAATGATTTATTAATAGTAATAGTAATTAATAGTAAATTGTCATGATAAATCAAAGAATCTGTTTCTGTTTCTTCTATTCTCCCTTCATCAACCGTCTAAGTCTACAGCTGGCCATGGGCCTCTTCCAATTTAAGGGTCACGCTTGGTTTCTATTAATATGTTTGAAATGATCTAATTTAGTATGATATATTTCTTTAATCTTTTTCTGTGTTACTACTTATTACAGACTTTTTTACAGTGGTAGAGCCACGCGGCAGCTCTTGCTGTCGCACGGATGGGCCGGCTCGAACCGGGGTGGTACCACGACCTCACAGAAAACCAGCGTTAAGTAGCGGTTTACCTCTGCGTTTCGCTTGGTGAGTGCAGGTGGCCGGAGGCCCTTTTTACTGGAAATGAGGCATTCCATCTTAGTCCTCACGGGTGACAACGCATCTACATTGTGATTTGTAATAGAGGATAGATGTAGATGTCTATGGGCCGCAGCAACCATTTACCATCAGGTGGACTGTGTGCTCGTTTGTCACTCTTATCCTATATAAAAAAAAGACTGATTGTAAGCAATAATAAACCGTGCATTTATAAAAAGAAAAAGAAAGAAAGACCAAGCGTTGCGTGCATATCAATTAACGTAAAAACCAAGACAAAATCATGCTCAACTTATTGTACCAACACGCACTAACGTTTTGTACGTTAGTGCGTGTACAACATCTTATAGTGACCATATCAATATTAAAAATCTTTTATGTTTTAAATAAATAAATTGACTTGGCATTCGCACTAAACAATCTAATTTAACATAATATGTATTACTTGAGAGATACGAGTACATTGTGTTTTCATGCGTTGGCAACTTAGCTGCTCTTACCATCTTTACGCTGATGACCTGCAAATGTATGTTCAAGCAGATGTCAACTCTTTGTGTGACGCCATTGCCAGACTCAATATGGATTTAACAAATCTCCACAGTTGGTCTCGTAAGTTTGGTATTGGTGTGAACCCCAATAAATGCCAAGCTATAATAATCGGCAGTGCTCAACAACTATCTAAGCTTGACGTCCATTGCGCTCCACCTGTCACGTTTGATAGTTCTATCATACCTTATTCTGACAGCGTTAAAAATCTGGGTATCTACTTTGACACAACCTTAAGTTGGTCCACCCAAATTCAGAATATTAGTGGTTCTGTTTTAGCTAAGCTCTGTGCTTTGAACCGTCTTAGGAACTTTCTTCCGGTCAAGGTAAAGATAACTCTGGTGCAATCTCTTATTTTGCCTATTATTGACTATGCTGATGTTTGTTTTCCTGATCTCAATGAGGTTTACCTTGATAAGCTGGATCGTCTCGTCAATAACTGTATCCGTTTTATTTTTCGTCTTCGCAAGTTTGATCATGTATCGTCATTTCGCACACAGCTTAAATGGCTTCCAATTCGTCAGCGAAGACACATTAGGATACTTAACACAGTTTTTTCTATTTTATTCGATAACCTCTATCCAAATTATCTAAAACATAAGTTTCAGTTTCTGCGGGACACTCATGACAGACAGCTTCGTTCATCGGAGACTCTTGCTCTCTCTATTCCCCTTCACCGTTCGAGTTTCACATCTTCATCGTTCGCTGTCCAAGCCCTATGGAATGACCTGCCTGAAAAAATAAGACAACCTACCTGCAAACAAACATTTAAAAAGAACATCTAAAACTGCTTTACAACTGCTAAGTCCCGTCATCATTAGTATATTACGTATCTTTATGTATCTTGTATTATATTATATTTTATTATAATATATAAATTTATATACTTGTGTATGTATATGTCTGTATATATGTATATGTATGTGTGTATGCATATTTCTTTGTAACGGCCTTCGTAGTTATATCACTGTCTTAAGGTTGACTGGCAGAGAATGCTTTTAGTATTAAGTCCGCCTTTTGTTCCTTTACTTAATGTGTAAGGTTCAATAAAGTTTAATAAATAAATAAATAAATAATTAGTGCCGTAGATTTTCATACGTAAATGTAAATAATAAGAAAATTAAGACGTATATTAACAGCATAATTAACAGTCTACATTTGAATATAGGCCTCTAAAAAACTGTACTGTTATATTAAGTTCACTACCCTAGGAATAGAAATACATTTAATCCATTAAAGGTCTCTGCCCACTATACCGTATCATACCATGACCGTGCTAGGAGCGTATCAGGCACGAAAAGACAAAAAAAATAATATCTAAAAACATACATTGAACAATTACATTTACACCAAAGTGTATTACACATAACCTTAGAAACAAAAACAAACTTCAAATCTGGCAGCCTCGTACGAGATCTTATGGCAATAAAAATATAATGTGTGAGGGTGTACTTTTGTATAATAATTTACCGGATACTATAAAAGATTGTAATAATATTAAGCATTTTAAGAATAAACTAAAATCATATATTGTAAATAAAATTTAAAAACTGCATATCTTCAATTTTGAACATATGAGTATTGCATTAATACAATATTCATATTTTTAAAACAGTACGATATAATACATACCTACATATACTTACTTACTTATCTTTACGCACAATCCCTGACGGGGTAGCCAGAGAGAACAGATCGCCACGTGTCACGATCCTTACATACCTCTTTCGCTTCTTTCAGATTCATTATCTTCTTCATACATGCACGTCTAGGTATCCGAGTACTCTTGACCCTACCCTCTTCGAGCAATTTGCTCACATGGTCTTCGAAAGTTAGTCTCGTTCTACCTCTACACCTTTTAATATTAACTTTCGCGCTATATATTTTCTTCACCATTCGGTCTTCACTCATTCGCTCAACGTGCCCAAACCACCGAAGCACGCCCTTATCAATTTTTGTGATAAGGTCATCTTTCAAACCTGCCATATTACGAATCTCTTCGTTTACACCTACATATGTTTGCATTATGTAAGAAAAAGAGTAACAAATTAATTAAGGATATACATACAAGAATAAAGCATAATAGAATTATATAATGCATGCTACCGTGTAAATACTGGTAATATTATTTTGTATGTATACTTAATCTCTGTAAAAGTGAACAATGTGTTCTTTAAGAGAAATAAATGTCTTTAACCCGAAAAGCAACACGATACTCTCTACTATGCCCACTGAACGGATCGACGGCGTTCTGTGCCCGTATACATCCCGTATGATGCCAGTATGCAACCCGTATGTAACCCGTATGATGTCCGTATGCAATATCCACCAAAACCAATAGGAATCCGATTCATTCTCGGATGCGTAACAGTGTTGCGTGGACGTCTTGAAGTGATACCAAATTTTTAAATTGTAAAATAGGTATGGCTATCACAAAATTAGCTGTTAGACAACTGGCGATGATTGTTTTGAGGAAGAAGAAGAAAACAAAAAAAAACACTCGGCGCTACTGGATTCACGATTCTAAAGAACGAAAAACTGAAGGAGAGTATAAGACATTATTCAGACACTTAGTTGATGATGAAAAAAAGTTTTTTCAGTATTTCCGAATGTCTACATTCCAATTTAGTGTTTTGCTGAAAAAAATTGAACGATATTGTCAGAAAAAGTTACGGCAACGCGCTTACAACGCCTATATAACGGTCATCATACGCGTTTACAACCCGTATACTCGCCGGCTCGCCGCCTGCGCGCAACGGCTTGCCAACGTTACGTGTCATGCACAGAGCGTGTCAGCACCGGCAAAATATTCTCGCCGACATTTGTTGACGCTCCGTGCATGGCACGCGACGGTGTTGGTCGGTGACGGAACGGTCTAGTGGGAACAGTGTCATACTTTTCAATACAAATAATATTTATTTGCCTGACACGTTCCTAGCACGGTCTTGGTATGATACGATGTAGTGGGAAGAGACCTTAAGAGTTTGTAGATAGCTCCGTCCGTCATCAGACCAAGTACGGTAGACATCAATATTTAAAGAGGTAAGAATAACTTTCTGGTTCTATTTTGGGATAATCTTTTATAGGTCAGATGGCAAATAAATAGCTATTGATTAATACATCCGGCTGGAATCTATTTCACAATAAATACATTTTAAAGTAAAAACATCTTTCTTTTGAATTTACAGTTACAATGCTTCATCGTTCATAAGTGGAGCGCAAAGAAATGGAATAATTTGCCAGTGTCTTTAAGGCAACTGGCTTTACATCACTAAACATCAGGTGGGGCAATAGTAGGAGTAGTAATTAAGCACTGGCTTATAATTGTTAAAAAAGCTAAAGGTCTCCTTAACCTATTTGGAAAGACGAAGAAAGGGGTTAAGATATCTA